GAACTCTATTTATCAAAAATTAAAAAAAAAACTAAATCAAAAATAAAATTAATTAAAAATTAATACTTAATAATTCCTTAACTTCAGTTCTTTAATTTTAAATATAAAAAAGAGTATAAAATTTTTATAGAAATGAAACATTTTTTCCGCTATATATTAATATAACATAATAAAAATATACAATATTCATCAGTATAACAGTTATTAATTTATATACATTTATACTTATATTTATTCATGTATTTATATATAAACGCAAATATATAATAAAAAATTATTTTTTATTGTTCTCCCGAATATATATATAAAAAAAAAACACTGTAAATAATACGTATAACATTTGTAAATTTGTATAAAAATAAATAAAATAATTCCACATAAATTTAAAATATTAATAAATCTTTAATTAACAAAAATAAAAACAAACCGTATCGTATATAATATTAAATAATTGATATTGTATAACAATATATATAGTATATATATATATATATATATATATATATATATATTAAATTTAATTAATTTTCCAATAAATATATATGAAAAATTCAAACTAACATCAAGGAAAATAAATTTAAACACTAAAAAATCTCATAAAAATTATATAATTATTTTATTAACGCACAAAAGTGATATAAAAGAAAAATAAAAATAAATTTATAATCCTTTCCCACTGAATTTTCTCAATATATTGAAAATATATATGAAAAAAAAAAATAAAGAAAAACATAAGAAAAAAAAAAACAAACAAATTTATAAAAAGCCTTAGGAAATGATCATTTTTTTTTCTCATCTGTTTTAAACACGAATTTTTATTTATTTCATTTCTTTTATAATTGTACACACTATATTAATTGTAAATTATATAATAAAGATATATATATTAAATATATTTAGCTTAATAAAATTTTTTATTAATATAAATACTAGAATTATTGAAATATTATGTACCACAGAAAATTTTGTTATACACTATAAGAATTCATTTTGTTTCGTTCCAAATTTCTATTTGTTTCTGTAATATAAAATTAAAATGTGTTTGGTGATTCAAATTTTCAAAATTTAAAACACATACTTACTATAAACTATTCTCGAGTAGTTAAATTCTGTTATACAAAAGAAAACTTACAACAAAATTAAAATATTAAAAATTTGACATTCATTTAAAATGTCATTAAAATATAAAGTGATCTACCAGAAATATATGTACGTAACGTATTTTATATGAACTGGTCATGTATAGTTAGCAGTGTTATAAATTTAAAGTTCAAAAAATAATACATTCAAGAGAATTTAATGTTAATTCTTATATAATCTTTAATTGAATAAAATTAAGTTTCATAAATTGTTTCAAATTTTTCTTGATTGTTTCGTGTTATACTCGTATTGTTCCAATATCTTTTATTTTTTAAAATACATTCCAAACTACAAATTACTTTCGAATATAGTTAATATTTATAAATTAAATTGAAATGTTAAGTATTATTTTTTTTTTTTAGTTAAGTTAGCCATAATATATTAAATATCAACGTAATGTACGTAACTATTGCTTAAATGCTAAAATAGTAACGTCTTGCTTAAATGGTAACCAAAATGAACGCATCAGTATAGAGAAAATAAGCTAGTTAAATTTTAAAATTGTCATTTTGTATGAAGAAGAGTCAAGGCACGTCAATATGATTTCATTTTTAGTTATTTGGGGACGTGTTCTTGACAATTAAGTTAGCACTAATTAGTAAGCAGTTTCATATGTTAGATTATTCTCTCTCAGTGTTCTATATTAATTTTCCTTTTTTATTACAGTCTTTGGTGTTTGACATTTTTTAATGTTTTTATATTACTTGCATAGACTAGTATTTTTTTCCATTCTTTATTTTATTACACGCTTTCTTTTTACACATTTCTGCGATCCAATTTGAATTCATGAATGGTGTGTATACTCAATTTTCAAATAATTCCAAAATTAAATTTTTTTTTTTTTGTAATAATTTCAATTTTTATTTAAAATACAAAACAAAATTGTAAAAAAAAAAAACATTGTGTCTCTCATTATAACGTAAAAAGAAAATACAAAAAAAAAAATCAAATCAAAAACGCAACGCAACACTGTTAATTGTGTTGTACGCGAATGAATTTATATGAAACAAAATGAAACGAAACAAAAACAATACAAAAGTCAAAATACCGCCATCTATGAAATTTATCTGAAACTTTATCACACACTTCATAAAACAAAAATCAACAAAAAAAACAAGAAAACAAAAAAAAAATTAAACGTAAAATCGCGATATTTATACGAATATTAAAAAATAAATATAAAAAAAAAACGCAACCAAAAAAAAAAAAAGAAAAGAAAATTCTAGCTATAAAACTTTAAATTTAAAATAAATTAAAAAGAAAAATTTAATAAAAATAAAAAAAAAAAAAAACAAATTGTATAAAGAAAAAAACGTTGACTTTTTTTATCTGATTATAAAAATTCAAAATGAGTTTTAAGTATAAATAAAAAGAAAAAAAATTTATATTTAAATTTAAATAAAAAAAAAACAAGAAACAAAAACAAAAAATTAATAAAACTAAAAAAAACTTATATAATTTATAATTTTCGCATTATAACAAAAACAAAAACTAAAGAAAATCTTAAAAAAAAAAATCTTTAAAAAATTGTCGATCGAAAAAAATAATAAAAAAAATTTATATTAAAAAAAAACATAAATCTCAAAAAGAAAAAAAAAAGTAATAAATAAAAGAAAAAATATTAATTTACCTGATACTTCGTAATTACAACCAAAAAACAAAAAAAAAAAATAAAAAAAAAAACAAAAGAAAAAATTTCAAAAAAATTAAACTAACAACATAAGCTAGTTATATACATCTGTGTTAAAAAAAGCTTTCTATTAAAAATAAAATTGAGTCCAAAATAGTAAAAAAAAAAAAAATTTGTTTCATTTGTTTTCCAAAATTTCATTTTTTAAACATAATGTACTTAACAGTTGAAAAGAGAACATGGGCGATTTTCTGCTAAGAAATGTCAAAATTCATATAGAATACACTATTATAATTGGGACTGTCCAGAATGTTACGAAATTACCGCTGCGAATTACCCTAAAATAAATACCCTAAAATCAAAAAATTATTGAAATTAAAACCGACTTATAGGAGTGTATCTATTAGAGACCCGATATGTTACTCTCCGGGCCATTAATTTTTGCAATAATGAGTGAAACTCGATTTGTTAAGTTGAACTTTTTGCATAATAGAAAAGAGACATAATTTTGAACACTTGTTGTACATTTTTCTAAGTCAGTGGAGAAAAAAAAAAATCTGTTATAAAATAAGATTGTAGTACACTATTTTTAAAAAAAAAAAAAAAAGAACCAGACTTCGTATTTTATGATAGCCATGGTATATTGTTCATTGATTATCTTAAAAAAGGTAAAATATTATGTACTACATCCGAACAGCAAAATATTACATGACATTAGTTCAATAATTGAAGGCTGTAATCGACGAAAAGCGAGCTCTTATGAAAAAGAAAAAAATTCTCTTTCATCAAGATAACGCACCGAGTCACAAGTCGATGCAAATGACGATGATAAAAATGAATGAATTGTACTTCGAATTGCTACCCCATCCACCATATTCGCCTGATTTAGCCCCCAAATTTCAAAAGAATGCTCTAGGGAAAGAGATTTGAATCGAATGAGAAGGTCATCGCCGAAGCTGAAGCATATTTTGAAGGTAAGAAGACAAATCATTCTACAAACATGGTATCGAAAAGTTAGAGAAGCACTGGAATAACTATATTGCCTTAAAAGGAGACTATGTTGATGAATATAATCAAATTATGTCAAAATGTTGTTGTTTTATTAGCCATCCTTACAGATTTATTGAACAATGCGTTCCGTATATTAAATTAAAGATTAAATTATAAATAAAGAGCTAAAATTAAAGGAAGCTCCTATTTGTTTTATTTTATCTAGAAAATTAACATTTTTTAAAAATGAAAAGTTAAAATTTCAAATTTATTTTAATATTAAAGTAAATTTGATTCCGAAATCTGAACAGATTATAAATAATTTACAAATATTTATAAGAAGGCCCTTATTCTGAGGTTTGCAAATCATATTTAATTATTGCACCTGTCTTACACAGGCATGGAGTTATACTTCAAATTTCAAAAAGTTAAAAAAAAAATCAATCGAAATTGACCTTAAAGTCCTGTAAATGCGAACTTGTTCAGTTGTTAACATGGTCTCCATATAAAAGTTTTTTCTACTCATGACAGCCTATATAATGGTATATAGCGTTTCACTTTGATACGAGACAGCCTGTACATATAATATAACATTCTAATATAATTATAAAATTTATTTTTAAAAATGCCTTGTTTGAGAATAAATTTTTTTTACATTTTATTTTGATTTTTCTCTTTATTTTTAAATTAAAAAGTTTCTCGCTTAAGTTTTTTGTTTTCAATGTGTTCTATTTGTCTTTATGGGTATATCACAATCAACACTCTCTTTATAGTATCGCCACTTCTCCCTTTTTTCAGTTTTGTATATAATGAGAGATTTTCTATTTTGACTCAGAGCTGCCAACTTAGTCCGAGAACATACAATTTAATTTTTTAATAGAAAAAAAATAAAACATAATTTCTCTTTTTTTAATTTCTAATGTTAAAAATTTGTATTTTTATTCTCATCTGAATAATAATGTAAAAAAAAAAAAAAAAACTTAATTAAATAAAAATTATAATGTTTATAAATGAAATTGAATTAATTTAACGGGAAATGGAATAATTAATTAGATTATAATATACTTAAATATTAAAAATTTTTGTTTTTCTTTTCAATAATATAGAAAAAATCAAAAGAAATGAACGAATTAATATAATTTTGGTCCCACAACAAGAAAATTAATTTTGTTTTTTTTTTTGTTTTATATATGTGTGTATGTGTGTGCTTTTTTTCTTTTGTTTTTTTCCTTTCTCTTTATACATACTCGTATTTTTATTTTTTACATTTTAAGTCTATAATAAAAACAAAAACGATTTAAAAATCAAAAAAAAAAACAAAAACAAATTTAATCAACTTCTAATCGTCTAAAACTACCAACAACACCAGCATCTATATCACCAATACTGTTACCACCGAAATTTGCTGATTCTTTTGTTATTTCAATTTGCATATCATCTAATGCTAAAATTGCAGCACGTCTCTTTAATAATTTCTCTTTAAATTGTGCAATCATATCAGCTATTGGTACAGTACCACCATATTCTAATGGTAAAAGTGATGGATCAATTTTTGTTTTTAATTCATCAACATTTCTATGCAACTAAAAAAAATTTATAAGAAAAATTATAATTAAAATGAATTTTTAAATAAAATTTAATAAATTTTGTGAAATTGCTAAATTGCAATTGAATTGTGTTTACTATTAATTATTATTGTAATTTCACGAAAAAATCACGAAAATCACGAAAAAAATTTTAAAACTTACAATTATACGTTTTTTTAATTTATCTGTAAGCATTGATACAGCAACTTCTATTATTTTAGCACCATAATGTGGTATACCAATAAAATGAGTTTCTTTATGTCTCATTGGTGTTGAATTCTAAAAATTAAAAAATTTTTATTATTTATGAAATTTATATATGAATTTAAACTTACTTGAATACATTTTATCACATTTCTTAAATCAGTTATTGACCATAAACTAATAAAACCCATATTCATACCAGATTCATCATTAACATATACATAACCACTAACTTGTGATTCTTCATCATCAAGTAATGCTTCACATATTAATGAATGTACACGTGCCATATGTGTTGATGTATATTTATATGGATCAAATTTACCAGCAACTGATAATATTATTTGTCTACCATATTCATCACGTTGTGGTAATGGTACTAAATAACCATTTTCAAATATTTCATTAATTATTGGATCATTAATATCTAATTTTTGAAACCACATTGGATATAATTGACGTATTGTTAAATATTTTTCTAACATTTCACATGCTGATTGTACTGAAAATTTTTTTGTACGTAAAAATCTTAATAAAAATACAGCATCAGTACGACATTTTTTTATATGCGGATGTTTTGAGATCCATTCACGAAATTGTGTTAATGCTTGTTTACGTATATTTTCATCTTCACGTAAATCATCTTTTGCAATTTTTTTAAATTGTGAACTTAATTTACATATATATGGATCATAATCATCTGATGGTATTGATGATAAATGATGTCCTGTTTGTACAACTGATTCGGTTTCCAACATAATTCTAAAACAAAAAAAAAAAATAAAAATTAATAAAATATAAAATTAATTTTTAATAATATTGTTTCTTTTTTTAAATTATAAATTTAATATTAAAATTAAGAATTTTATTGCAAACATTTTTTTTTTATTGTGAATTTTGTGAGTAATTGGTTTGTACATTGACTAACAATTAACACTTATAATATAGTAGGAATGTCATTCGTCATTATTATTATTGTTATTACTGTTATTGCAAGGTATTTTTAATATCATGCTTGTTTACTATCATATTAAATACTATCATATTATACTTGATATTTACATAAATTTTTACTGTCTTACGATTTACGATGACGTTTTACATTGGACGCGATTAAAATTTTAAAATTTATTAAAATATTTTTATAGAAATTTTTTCCCTTCAATAATGGTTATTGGAATTAATTCAAATTTTATTATAATTTTATTATAATTTAAATGTTTATACTATATATTGCTTATATTGCTTTACAAGAGGGTATAAAAATGCACATGTGTTGTATAAAATTAAAAGAAAAAAAAAAAAAACTAATGATGTAAGATTTTACTAATTTTGTAAATTTTAATAAATAAAAAAATAGCTTAAAAAGCTTTTAAATTAAAATTTTCAATATAAACTAAAAATTTAGTTGAATACGTTTTTTTAAATATTTTAAATAATTATACATTATGGTAACTTTACCTTTAATTATCACCTTTTAATTTGTACAAAAAAAAAATAAATGAAAACCTAAAGAAAAAAAATTCATTTAGGTGATGTTACTCAATTCAAACATAATAATTTATTTTATCGTGCTAAAAGTTTTCAATTCATTGACCACAAATGAACGAATACAGTGATGTAAAATCAAAAATGAACGATTACATTTTTTACATTTATGCGAAAAAACTCAGTATTTGAATACAAAATTTTATTGAATTTAGTTTGTGCCTTTCAAATATTTTATGACCAGCGAGTTGAATAAAATTTATTCAATTAATATTTGAAAATATTATTTTTAATTTACAAGTTCATATAGTGTTATAAACGCAAATTTTAAGCGTATATAAAAAATTTATATATATTAAATTTCACATTTTTTTAGTTTTTTTTAAAACCTTGAATGTTCTTAAGCCACTTTTTTTATTAAAGAATAATAAAAATTTATGAATTAGAATGGTTCATTAGAATATTTTTTATGAGCCAGAAAATTACCAATTATTTTAATTAATAGATTTTCAGTTAACATAATTGCATTATTTATTCATAATTGGGTTAGAATTAATATTGGATTGGTACCAGAACCTTGATTAAATTTATAAAAATTTTATGAAATATTCAATTTTTAATTGAAAACAAGAGAAAAGTTTTGAATTATTTGCAAAATCAACAAAAAAAAAAATGAAATTGATTTGGGTGATTAATTTAAGTTCTTTTTAATTAGAACTATGTAAATTTCACACCCATCAAATTAAATGAATAATAATAAATTAAATTCCTTTGTTTAAATTAAATCATGAGTTAATTTGTGTCTCGCTCAATGAACTCAATGATGTGTACTAATCCACTTGAGGGTTTGTTTTAGTATTTCATTTTACAATTAATAAACAGTTCTTGCCAAATCTGAAGATAAGTGAAAATACTGTTTTTAAAAACAATCTGTTACATACGTTATTTAAATTACTTTCATTTGTAAGGCATTAAATTATATCAAATTATTGCATACATTTAGGATGAGCAAAAAAAAAAAATGACTTCGGAAGCTATTAATTTTTGGAGGAAGATAACCTTTAGAAGAGCCAAGAATTTTCCCACAGAAATAATTTTCTAGGAAAAATCTCAAGAATTTTAGAAGAACGGAATTGAAAATTGACGAAAAAGGAATTTCAAGAAATTTTTTTTTGTAAAAGAGCTAAAAAACTGCACATATAGTCTAAGGATTTTAATAAGAACTAAATTTGAGCACAATACTATAAGAATAATGAGCAAAAGAGTTATAAAATAACAAAATGGGTGTTTTTGAGTGTAATTTTAGGGAATAGCAGTAATACTGCTCGTGAGCAACATGAACTCAAGGCGACAGTCAAAAAGTATATGGGAGAAGCGATACATATATGAAAAGTGAAGAAGAAAATATTTTATGCAGAAATAATCTGTCTGTAGACAGTACGAATTATTGAACAGTTTGCCTTAAATCTCTAGTTTAATATATTTAGCTTTTATATTTTCAAATTAAATTTAATTATAATTTTTTAATATTATATAAAAATAAATATCGTTTTGATGAATTTCGAAATATATTTAAAAATTTTGTTATTTAAATAATTTTTTTTTTTCGCAATAATTTAAATTTAAAATGCCAAGCAATTTACAATAAACAAATAATTTAAAAAAAAATAAAATACAAAATTTCCCAAAATTTTCAAGGTTTTTAGTTCGTTCACTTATGTAATAAAATTTTTTATTCGTGTATGTATATTTCCACCAATAACACACACATACAAACGTTTCTCTTTTCCACTGATCATTAATTTTTTAATCGTCACACTTTCCATTTCAATTGCTTTACAATATTCAATACAATTTTAACTAATGCAAGGTCGATTCAATTGGATATTTTATTTTTTTTCATATACACGTACATACATATATATTTTCGTACATAATAACTGTGTGTGTGTAAATGTGTACTAGTTTTAAAAATTTTCTTAACTGTTATTTAACCAATATTTTATTAAAGTAAAATAAAAAGTGAAAAATTATAATAAATAATTTTTATTATTTTGGTTTACAAAAATTATTTTTTGTCAGACTCTCACACACATGATCGTTTACTTTCGACTCACAAGTCAGACATGATCGTGTATATTGTGTTTACAAATGTATATATATATATACTGTAACAATGTGCGTAAGTTATATGTTGTATGAAACTAGAGATTATTACAAATTTTTCTTCTTTTGAGTATAAGTATTGCAAAATTAAAAAAATAAATTTAATTTTTGGAAAATGTATTCGAAAATGCTTTAATTATTTTCACTACATAGCAAGTATGAGGTATTCAAATTTAAAATTCAATTAAGATTCAAGAAAATTATAGATTAGTCTTTATAATCGGAACAAGTCATTTAAAATTTTAAAATCCTGAAATCTCAAGAAGTAATAATTTAAAAGTCTGAAATAATTTAGCAACGAAAGATGATGTTAAACTCAACCGCACCTTGAAATTTGTTTGCGTAACGTAACGTAGACGTAAGCTCCATTTTATATAAGGTAATAATTAGAATTATGTACAAGTAATTAAAAATAATATTTTGGTTAGCAAGGAAAAAAAAATTACTTTATATGACTGACACGCTCGACATATGTGTGATAGATATTTAAAGCTATGAAATCTGTTCCAGAGCACAAATCTATTAAATATTGCATATTATCTAAAGAATTTATATTTTAAGATCTTTGAGATTTCTATAATATTAGAAAATTACATGTGAATTTCTTTTGTTTAATTGAGAATTCACAAATTGCATTTCAAGAATTATACAATCTTCAATATTTGTTAAAAAAAAATTTTCAACAAGATTAAATTAAAGTGTGATATTCTTAAAATTCACACAATTTTCTAATTTATTTACAAATATTCACAATAGCTTTATTTATTTTAATTGTGATATTGTTGTTAACAATGTCGTCAATCAATAATTTCAATCATTTAAAAGTAAATATTGACAATTTGTAAATTCAAAAAAAAAATTTTTTTTTAAAATTTATTGACAAGGAAGTGATTTTTTTTTAATATATTATTATTTCGGTAATTAGTAAATTATTATTAATTTTATTAGTTTTTTTTTAATGGAATATTGTTTGCAATTTAAAACTTTTGTGTTATAATATTGTTTGGAGCCGTATGTTTAAATAATTCAAGCAAATATTAAAATTAAATTGTAAATAACAATTAATGATAAAAATTTAAAGGACAAGTGAAAATATTATTGTGAATTCTTGTCGCACTAAGTTCCTATACACCGTGGTTGCGTATTGCATATATAGAGTATTAGTATTTCATTTAAAATATCTATGGTTCGATCCCAAATTGTGGTAAGAAATATACAAAATATTAAAAAAAAAAAAATTACTATTAAAATTATTAATACTGTTATTTATCTTTACAGATGCTTAATTATTGACGACAATAATAACGCTTTGGTGCACAATATTTGTTGCCATCCATTGACGTAAAATTCGATATATATGTTAAACATAGCTATTTATATATATCAGAATAATTTTTACAATTATAGTAATTGAAATCAGATTATTTTATATTATAACAAATTTATTATATTAAACAAATTGGATTTAATTTAGAAAATTACAGAAGTCGTGCAGAAAACTAAATATGTTTTACAATTTTTCTAAAATACAATTATAATTATATTGACATTAAATTAATCTTTAACATCTGCTTCCAAGTACATTAATTAATTCAAATTATATTTAATATATCAGAAATGTTATTGGAAAACTATTAAGATTAATTAATACAATATCAATATAAAAATCTTGTACTTGAATACTTTTAAATCTTGTACTTCATTAAAAAAAAATTTAATTAATTGCCCTTCATTTTTATATGTAAATTAATCCAATTTTACACTAAATGATTTTGCAAAAAAAAAAAAAAAAACAAAATTTTTAAAAAACTATAAAAGTGGATCAAAATTTTTCGCATTTAGTGTGCTCATAAAAGAAGAATCAAAATTAAAAAAAGTAAAATTATAAATATTATAATGTCTTAATTAATATTAATCAAAATATAATATTTAGGTATATATGTATAACAGATTATAACATTTAAATTATATTATCAATTTGTCATTGAATAAAGAGAACAAAAGTGTAATATAGAAATAAAATATGATAAAATGTCATTTAAAAATTTTTCACTAATTTTAATTTAATAATACATTTTCCGATATTTTGATATATTTGTATCACAATT